AATAGAGAGCGAGTGTCTCCTCTGAAAGTATTGGTGCAACTCGGCCGAAGCACATGAACGTGGCCAACTTGTTTTGTGAAACTGTGTAACCTTCTTGAGTATTTGGTCCACAAGTGTTTCTTTTCGTATGGCTTCTGCGGTAACTGGTAGACCGTGCAATGCAACCGTTGCCAGAAAGTTGACGTCATGTTCAATCTCGACCGAGGCAATTATAGTGTCCTCATTTTCTTGCTGGCGGGCATCAATTAGGCATGACAGTGCATCCGCTTGGGCAATGGAAACGGTCGACTAGTATTTGAGCTCGAAAACATACCTCATTACGGTAAGAGCCCAATGTAGTAGCCGGTTTGCTGTGTAGGCCAGGATGCCCTTTTTCGAGCCAAAGATAGCCAGCAACGGCTTGTGATCTGTCAGAAGCTTGAAGCGGCGGCCGTATAGCATTGTGTGGACTTTCCTGACTCCATACAGTATGGCCAATGCTTCTTTCTCAATCTGGCTGTAATTCCTCTCGGCCTTCGTAAGTGTTCTGACAGCATGGGCGATTGTTTCTGCGATCCATCGGTGTACGTGTGTAATATTACTGCACCAATCTTATAGCTTGATGCATCTGTCCAAGACAAACTCTTGGAGGGATCAAAATGAGTCAAAGGCAAGTTTGAGGACAGCGGTGACAAGACGCGTTCGAAGGCGTTCTGGCATTCTGTTGTCCAGTTCCATGTTTGGCCTTTGGTTAATAGCTTGTTTAACGGGCACACAGGCGGTACATCTCAGGCAAGAATGCACTGTAGTGGCTGATGAGCGCAAGGAAGTTTAGGTCTGTTGGCGGGGAAATTTTTCTAATGGCTTCTATGTTTTCCAGATCTAGTTGACGTCCGCCTTTTTCATGGATAAAACCGAGATATTTGAGGATCAGCGTGAAAAATGTGCATATATCTTCACGGATCCGGAAACCGTTCGACTGCATACAACAAAGCAGTTCATCCAGGCGGTTAAATAGTTCTTCTGGTGTTCGACCCAGCACTATACTATTATCCAGATATGCAGCGGTTCCAGAAACGCCCGCTAGCATGGCATCCATCAACTGTTGGAAGATGGCTGGCGCAGTTTTCACACAACATGACAACCGGTTGTATTGGAATAGCCCACCATGAGTGCTGATCGTCAACAACTCCCTCGAGACTTCGTCAACATCCACTTGAAGACAGGCATTGGATAGGTCAAGCTAAGAAAGGTACTTACCACCATCCAGTTTTGCAAAGATATCTTCCGGCACAGGTATTGGGTACTGGTGGTCGTCCAGCGCGGCGTTTAGGCCAATTGAGGAGTCAGGACAGACGCACATCTTGCCACTTGCTCTCTTTATTGCGAAAATAGGTGCGGCCCATGATGAGTAGTTGACGACTGTGATGACTCCGGCACGTTCCAGTTGATCGATTACTTCTTCAACGGTTGACATGGCTGCGTATGGTACCGGTCTTTTAACCTTGAACACTGGTTTAGCAACTGGTCGCAAGTTCAGTGTTGCCTTGAATTTCGTACAATGGCCCAAGCCATCCTGAAAGAGAGAAGCAAATTTTAGCATCAGGATACATTTCATGTCTTTGACGGACTTTGATGATGGGTCTGGACTTGCTCGAACTCGGTTGAAGATCTGATTCAAGGGAACATCGAGGAAATTCAACTTTTCAATCCAGTCGAGGCCATGACGATTTAAATTCAGCCGGTCTGAAATGTGGTATGTTCCCGACTTTTCCACACCTTGGAAAACACTCTTGCAATTGAGTTCGCCAACCAAGTTTAACACACCGCCGGATGCATTATGTGCATTATTCTGAGACTCTACCATCTTCGGCCTTTTTATGGGATTCAATGGGCTCCTGGAAACAATCGTGATGTCCGAGGCCGTGTCAACTTGCAGTTTCGTTAGGATCCCATTGATCAACACTGATAAATCGTCGCCTTGGTTTACACTCGCTTTGGAAGGAGGCAACTATGAGCAGCGACTCGGCGCCATCCCTTCTAGAATTCCATTTTCGATGAAAATTCTGCATTTTTTCGACCGGACCTGACTGCAGCATCCTCTTTATGCCCACGCTTATGCCACATTTGACAAATATGCTGTTTGAAGAAGCAAAAACGCGCGGAACGCCATTCACCGCATGACCAACATGCTGTGGGCGCTTTGTTCGTCTGCTTCTTAAAGGGCTTGCTTCGGTTGCCGGTCCTGGCCTTTTTCACGAGTTACACGCTATCCAGTTGTGCGCGACCCTTGCGTTCCACCATGGCAGTGTCGAGTTTTAGAGTGAGCGGACCTTTGCATTCGCCTACGAGGGCCTTCAGTGTCAGGTCAGGATCCTGCTTTAGCTTAGCTAAAAGCCGCGTGCGGATCTCAGCAGCACTGGGCGATTGCAGAGCTCTGACGAAAATGAGACACTTATACTGATCGTCTTAGAAAGCGCGTAGGTTGAAACGCTCACACTCAAGCTCAATCATGTATGCTAAGGCCCCAAAGTCGTCAGATTCTTGTTTGACAATTTTGAGGCATTGATAGCCAATAATAAACAAGGATACCGACTCACAAAATATTTCCTTCAGCTGCGACATTACATCGTCAAAAGGCAGATCCTTCGGCTGTTTGGGCAAAATGTGGTCTATGAACCGTGAATGTTCTCTTATTCCGAGCTTGCGGAGTAGCAATGGCACCTTCCAGGAGTCGTCTTGACGAATGAAGTCCGTTTGGAATATGCCATCCCAGCGCTTGAACCACGCTTTGAAGGTGCATCCAGCATCCTCATCATAATTTAATGCAGTGATGGCGCTCGTGAGAAGATCAGCAGAACTCGCCTGCATGTCCTGTGCCGCTACTCCTGTTGTCTGCATACTCAGGCATCGTGTCAAATTTGCTATCATTTTCATTTGTGCCTCCATTTGAGCCTGCCGTTGGAAAAGCAGCTTTTAAAATTGTTCAGCAGAAAAATTCATCACATTTGCAATCTTTTCCGTCGCCATTTGTTCTAATATTCTCATTAGATGCAATTCCACAAATAACCATTTACTGCTCCACAAAACTTTTATCCCAACCGAAGAGAAAAACAGGACGCCAATGACCTTGACCAAGTTACGTATTAATCGCCGCCAACGAACACTGTACAACGACTGCGGACCTTGACTGTATTTACAGGTCTCTACTGACCTTTGACTTCTAGGATTGGAAGGTCAGCCACCAAGGTTAGTGGTTCCCCGTACCTTTTGCCGGTGTCAGGTGGTTTTAATCACGTGCAGAAGTAGAACATTCCGGTACGTTCGAAATCGATGCGATGATCGTTAGTAATCGTTTAATCGCTAAAATGGTGAAGTTCCAAGGCAATTCTTACTTTCTCCCGAATAGCGACCTCCTGCGTGTTTTCTGTTCTTCTGAGACAGGTCATTGGATCAAGTGATTATGTCTAACTCACAATGTTTGCATTGTGCGAAAGTGGTGTCTAAGGGTATCCAGTGCATTGCCTGCAAACTCTGGGCATGTGGGCAAAAGCGTTGCTCGCAACTTACTGAACCGCTCTTCAAGACCTATGCTGAGCACAAGGGTTTGTTATGGATTTGTCGATATTGCATCGATGCTGCTGCGTTGGCAAGACGTCCGCCACATCAACATCCTGAAAGACGTTCTTCTGCTCCTGCTAGGCGTGCCAGGAAGCGGAGCAACACATCTTCCATCGACGCTCCAAAGGTCGCGGTCACCCCCACCCCGTCTACTTCTCATTCAGACCCATTGATACACATCCGGCCTGTTGAGCCTACGACGAAGTCATATGCGGACGTAGTGAAGGAGAAAGCGACTTTGGCCTCGTGTGGTCAAGGTCCAGCCACATGTGTCACCAAGGCTAAGACTAAGTCTTTGAATAAACCTGAGCTTCCATCTTCTCAGTCACAAATGAAGATAATTCTGAACAGAATCTCTGAGCTGGAAAAAGTGATAAAGGAAAATCCAGCATCTCGTAAGCCACCAATTCCAGAGCGCATTCAGCCATCTCGTGACCGCTGTCTCATCATCGTGAACGCGGCGAAATCGGAAAAGGCTACCTCGGCGGAACGAATGTTGGATGATCAAATATTGCTCGAGAGGATGATTTCTCTACTGTTTGATGCAGGCGAACAGGGAATAAACATTGTCTCTGCCTTCCGCCTCTGTAAGAAGCAGGAAAATTCCTCCAAGGTTCGACCCCTCAAGATTGTATGCGGAAACGAAGAAGAGTGCGCGCGCATCCTTCGACGGACTCCACGTCTCAAAGGCGAACCTTTCTACGTGTTACGAGACCTCTCTCCAGAGGACCGAATTAAAATGAAGAAGGCTGTAGAGGAGCTCCGAACACGCCGGGCAAGTGGTGAAACCGACCTACATATCGTGGATTTTTGCGTAGTTCGGAAGAGCACAAGAGTGCGCTGGAGGCCGATTCTTGTCACCCCCAGACAGTAAAGCATAAAAACGGACTACGCGTGCTATCTGCCAACGTACGCAGTCTAAGGAATAAACTAGACGAAATTCAGTTGCTTACTTCGGAGACTCGTCCAGACCTGATGGCCTTCACCGAAACCTGGCTATTCTCAGATATCACGGACTCGGAAGTGTCTATCCCTGGATATCACTACTCCCGGTCCGATCGCCACGGGGTGAGGTCAGGTGGTGGAGTAATTCTCTACTGGAAGACGGATCTCAAAGTACATCTAGTTGAAGCAATCAGTGACCAGGATGACAATTTCGAAGCCCTCTGGTGCCATGTTTATGACGGATGCAGATCTCTCTTGGTCGGTGTCGTCTACAGAGCGCCATCGGGTCCCGGAGCACGCTTGTTGGGCTCGATAAGAATGTATGGTGGGCACAAAGACTGTTTAACCTTGGGGGATTTCAGTGCACCGGATATCAATTGGGACCTACTTCTTTGTGATCGCCGATCTGACTCCTTCGACGCCACACTGCTTAAAACCGCTCTCGATTGCAGCCTCGTTCAACATGTCTTGACGCCTACTCGTATTTTCCCAGACCAGACCCCGCACATCTTGGATCTCGTGCTCTCCCCGGCAGATTCAGATGTCACGAACTTAACCGTTCTTCAACCCATAGGCAAGAGCGATCATTGTGTTGTTTCATTCCACTGGACTCGCCGTCTCACGATCCATAGCCACGGTGGTCACCGTCGAAATTTTTGGCGTGCCGACCCACTCCGTCTGAAAACGGCCGCAAGCACTACGGTTTGGGGTATCCCTGAACACATTCACCTCGATGACGCATGGAATCTCGTACTCTCCAAAATGACGTGTTAATTGAGCAGGTCGTTCCTTCCTCCCATCGAAAGCCCTTCGCTAGAGGTCCACCTTGGATGGATCGAGAGTTGGGGTCAAACATGAATAGAAGGCGTAAATTATGGGACCGCTATAGGCAATCTCATTCAGAACTCGACTTCTCTCACTACAAGACAGTCAGAAATGTTTGTGTCTCAATGAAGCGCCAGAAACGCCAACGATACGAGCTATCCTAGGCAAAACACTCCAGCATCGCGCCTAAAATGCTCTACTCTTATTTGAAAAGAAGCACTAGAGCTGGTAATGGCATCCCTGCTTTGTGTTCCTGTGATCATCAAGCTTTACTTCACGAGGACGCTGAGAAAGCTAGTCACTTGGCTAAGCAATACGCTTCTGTTTACGCGAAAGAAACGCCATTTAGTGACAGAGCCGTATCCACATTTCCATCTTCGTTGGCCCAAGTAAGTATTAACACTGATTCTGTGATGAAACTTCTTCTTCAGTTAGCTCCGTATAGCTCACCCGGCCCTGATGGATTGCATCCTTTGTTCCTCAGGACTGTGGCGGAGTACATAGCTTCACCCATATGTCAAATCTTTCGTCGCTCACTAGAAGCTGGCCGTCTTCCTTCAGCTTGGAAAGTGGGTATCGTCAAACCCATTTACAAAGGAGGAAGTCGACATGACCCGGCCAATTATCGTCCAATCTGTTTGACGTCAATAGTGTGTAAAGTTATGGAACGGATCCTAAAACAAGCTGTTACTCTTCATCTTGGGGGACAGAATGTCATTTCTTCTGCCCAGCATGTGTTCAGAAAAGCACACTCCTGTACCTCGAACTTGCTCGTTGCTAAGGAGACCTGGGCAAGGTCGCTAGACTCCGGCAAATGCTTGGACGTTGTGTTTGTTGACTTCAGCAAAGCTTTTGACAAAGTCCCGCATGAACGGCTCCTGTTTAAGCTCCAAGGAATCGGTATTTCTGGGAACCTCCTGTCTTGGATCTCCGACTTCCTAAACGACCGCTCTATGCAAGTGAAGGTGAATGACACATTTTCTGCTCCTGTTCTCATGACGAGCGGGGTCCCACAGTGCTCTGTCCTCGGTCCCGTACTTTTCAATATTTTCATCAACGACTTACCATCCACTCTTCAGACGGATTGCCTAATCTACGCTGACGACCTAAAGCTATGGATGGAAGTATCAAGCCTTGAAGACGCCGACCGATTACAAACTACGCTCAATCTACTCCATGACTGGTCGATTAAGTGGCAGTTGCCCGTAAATCGTGATAAATGCTCTGTTCTCCCCGTTGGCTCATCAAACCCATTTGGAACTTACCATATTAGTGGTTCCTTGCTCAGAAGCGCAACCCAAGAGAGGGATCTTGGAGTGATAGTGTCATCAGACCTCAAATCTATCCAAGACACCCAGAAGAGGGTCGCCGCGGCCTACAGGATGTTCCATTCTTTACGTAGAGGGTTTTCTCTCCTGACCCCGGGACTTTTCCGACTCCTCTTTGGCTCGCATGTACGCCCGATTCTCGAATACGGACTACCCGCTGCCTACCCTCTCACCAAATCTGAATGTGATATGATAGAGAAGGTTCAACGGCGTGGATCCAAATCCGTCCCTGAGTTGCGAGACCTGTCGTATCCACACCGACTTCAACGACTGAACTTGTTCTCTCTAGGCTACCGCCGTCACCGAGGAGATTTGATTTTCACTCGACGTATTCTCAGAGGAGAACTGGGTTGCGAGTTACAGGACTTCTTTCAACTCAACACTGAGAGTTCGACACGAGGCCACCGCATGAAACTGTTCAAACCGAGGAATCTCCGTGTGCGGCTCAATTTGGCCTTATCAACTCGCGTGGTGAATGATTGGAACCGGTTGCCGGATCCTGTTGTTGATGCTGAGACAGAGGAACGTTTCAAACAACTGTTAGATTCTCACCTGAGCGCGCTGGGATTCTGCTGCCTCTAAGGCAGCTACAGTGGTCCTCTGCGGAAACTTCTACCGCAATGAACCACGCCATCTCCGCAATGATCGGGAAGTGAAGGAGCTGACAAAGGATCTTCCTTCTGCTCTTTATCATCCAATGATCCAATGATCCACCGATGTTTCTTCCTCTCTTACTTACTTCACCTAACAGACGTAGCAGGGACAGCTAATGTAAGGAACGTGGGCATGAAATTGGTGGACCAGTGTGCTTTTCGGTTGTTTTCGTTTTAGACCCATCAAGAAGTCGGAGCACCCCTATCAACTCCTGGATCAGCGACCCGGTCAAGAAGGAAAATTTCTGTGCTTCATCCTATTGTTCCAGTCCCACCTGAACCTGAACTGGAACTGGCGCTCAGAAAGCGAAGCGTCTGCCTGTCATCTGTGCTGAATTCAAAACACTGACATCTGGTAGGCCAGCTGTTCAGCCTCTCACGAAGACCGAATGCGATATGCTTGAGAAGGTCTAACGCCTTGGATTTAATTGTATGCCAGAGCTGCGGTGCCTCTTAACCTCTCCATCTCCAGCGATTAAACCTTTTCTAACTGGATTACGGTCGTCGTCGCGGTGATTTGTACTACACTCGACGTATCCTAAGAGGAGAGCTAGGAAGCGAGTCGAACATTGAAAGTTCGACGGTGGTCACAAATGGGAACTGTTCCAGTCGAGGAGACTCCATGTGCGGTCAGATCTAGCTGTATCCACACGCGTGGTTAATGACTGGGAGCGCCTTCCGGAGCTCGTCGTTGATGCGCAGTCCGCGGAAAGTTTCAAGCAAATGTTTGATTCCCACTTGATAATTGTGCCTGGATATTTCTTCACGATATGGCTTTAAGGTTCATTTTGGAACCCTATTTTCGCAATGGCCCCAACAATGTCCGCAATAACTGGGAAGCGACGGAGCTGATGAACGACTCTCCTTCTGCTCTCTA